AATACCACCTCTTTTATGTGTTTTTGTTAGAATTATTGAAAAATGAGGCTTAACATAAAGAAACAAAGAAGATGCCAAATAATTTGTCTTTTAGCTGCACAAAAATGTGCTTTATTTGTCTTTTGTTAAGAGTTTTTTCAAAACTCTTAAATATTTCACCGACTCCGCATCACATTGATAACACCAGTCCAAAATTCTGCATATTTGCACCAAACGTATTTAATGCTCTGAAAGTCCATATCAATAAGTTTTTTTGCACCATGTTTCTTTTCTCCCACACTGTTTACATTTGCTCACTGCTACACTTTAAGGAATGAAAATGTTATGAGAGTTGTACAAAACGAAATTTCAAAAAGGGTTGTCTAAGTCTAAAAGTATTTAAAGGTTTGTATCCCTGTAAAAGGGTGTTGGAGAGCCGGCCTAAGGAATCAGCAAACCAAGCTGCTTATAAGGGCCTCTGACCAGCAGGGCTCCTTTCAGTTCTCACATAGTGTATCAAGATCTCTTTTTTTGTTGTTGTTTGTTGTGAATTGTACTTTGAAGTTACTTAAACTTGTGTTCTGATTTAAATCAAATGTAAGATTAAGATGTAAGATCATTTAAGATTTCAAGCAAAAAGTAAAAAAGCGTAAACTGTCACATTGTCTCCTGTTCCTTGTCTTGATTAACACTGCCATGTTGAAAGCCACTTCATGGGGTCTAAATGTGAGATAAACTCTTGGTAATATTAGATAAAAACCATCTGAAGGTTTAAATAGAGTATTGTTTAATATTTATTAATTTCTGAACTTCCTAACTTTAATAAGTTTAGACTGAAAAGATGTACAATGGTTGCGAGGGCAAATGAGTAAAACAAACAAAAAAAGGAATTAGAAAACAACTGTTTCTTTAGAGCTGTCTCTTTCTAAAACACTTCAACCCAAGTGCAATTTATTTTACTAGTAATGTAAATTGACAAATGTCATATTGCACAACAACAGCCTTATTGTTGGCTGATATGTTCCTTTAAACATCAAAGGTCCAAACAGTTGAAGAGGATAGAGTTTAAGTAAATGTCAGCTAATGTTTCATTCTGCAAATGAGCACTCAGACACTTTTGGCATTAAATTCAGTATATTTGATTAAAAAACATATAAGAGGTGGTCACTTTAGGATTGGTGAAACTGGCTGGAGATCTGATTTAATTGCTTTACTGAAAAAGGATGATTGGATATAACCACTGATTGGGGGTTCATGGATGGATCCCTCTGTAGACAAACAAGGTCTAGATCACATACACAATGCTATCAGTACCTTTACATCTCTACTGTTAGTGTAACGCTAGTACCAAGGGGATAGGTTGACTGTCAGTGTTTACTCACTAAATTTGCTGGCGCAAGCATGAAATTCTCAATTCCTGAAATTAAGTAATGCTACAACAAACCTTAAAAGGCAGTAACATGAATAATTAATTCATATCAATACATTTCTCTCATTTGTAGTGCCCCTTCTGGTTGTAATATCCTGCACTCTGTAGGCCCCATAGTCTCAAATCTTATCAGGATCAGATCTTAAGGCAAATAAATAAATAAAAGTCTAGAATGCATCAGTTTAAAAGTGGCCATAGATAAATATCAGCCAGTTTTCCATTAATCGACTATATTTCAGGATCCGCAAGTTCAGCAAATCGGAATCTTTTCCAATTACTTAAATACAATAGTGTTTTATAAACTAAAAGTGCTAAACACACCCACAAACTGTATGTTCTTTGATGCATGAGTTCAGTAAAAACATTCTATTCAATTCCTTTTTTTTACCTAGTGCCAATTCACAACACATGTCATCTCAAGGCACTTTACAGACACAATACTGTCAGAATGGTAAGGAAAACCAGTTGATTGGATCCAGTCATTGACTTGCAAGACATGCTCCTTCAGCAATCCCTCACACCAAGCACGCTTGTAGTGACAGTGGAGAGGAAAACTCCCTCTTAACAGGAAGAAACTTCCATCAGAACCATTCTCAGTGAGAGTGGCCATCTGCTGAGTCTGACTGCGGTTCAAGGAGACAGAAGTAGACATAGAAAAAGGAACAGCATTAAAAAAGGCAACCACAGGTGCCCTGTCCAGAAAAGACACAGCCAGACAGATGAGCTCTGAGCCAATTCTGACGGTCACAGTAAATGAAACAGGACTACACTTGCCCCATTTCCATTATACCCTTTTAAAACCGTGCTGAGAATGGTCCAAGCAGCATAACCAAGGTAATTGCTGAGTGTAAATGGAACACAACTGAACTGGACCATGCCAGACACACCGAACCACGCTAAATCTAGTACTAGTTCAACAGTAGAGCAGGTTCAGTTCAATTGTAGCTTGGTTTTCTGATAACAAAGAGCACATGAGCAGCCCTCATCATCCCCCATTTACAGTTAGATGACTCATTTCATGGGTTTTCCAGCCTGTCTGGCTTTGCAATTTGCAGACCTCTTCACCTGGTCAAACTACAAACTTCTTCTTAGCCTATTAACAATAAATGGCATCAAAAAAGCATGGTGCAACCTGTGATGATGCCGACACCGAGGCTCTCATTCAAATTTGGGCAGAGGACGCTATTTACACTATTTATTTATAAGTTCCTGAATGTTATGGGTACCGGCATGTTGTTTGCTTAATTTCTGAGAGCTGTAGTATCGTGGACTGCCAGTAGGGGGTGAGGATCTGGTTAGCGTGATATGTAAATGGTCGAAAAGAACCAAGCTCGGCACGGTTAACTGATCCAATCTCGGTCCGAACTCTGCGCTGATCGGTTTCAGAGGGCTAGTGTAAATGGGGAAACTGAATATAAACAGAGATGTTAATGGCAGCAGCACAGCGGATTTTTCCATCCACGATGGAGTCACAGCAAAACAGGAACAGACCAAAAAAAGCTACTATGAAAGGAAAAAGCAGAGAGAATGTAAGATTATGAGTGGAAACTGCAGAGAGGGAGAATAGTGATAGAAGGAAGCATCCCAAACATATAACAACACATCTACAGTAAACAAGTCAGGATAACCTAACTATTTTAGATTGAGGTATAAGAAATGTAGAGCCAAGGTGAGTCCAGATTGAAATTCTCCCCCACAGTAAATACCATAAGAAATGTCACAAGAACAGCTTACAAGGATAATGTATAAAATATGTACCTTTAAATAATAGCTTTTCTAAATAAAAGTGTCTTCAGATGCTTTTTAAAGTATTCAACAGAGTCTGTCGCATAGATAAAATGGGGCAGGGCATTCTAGCCTGGGGTCTGCAGGTTGGAACGATACATCTCCTTGAGTTTAAAACTGGGTCTTAAGGACATTTAGAAGGTTTTCACGCAAGGAACAGAGAGGGCAGCCAGTAGATTAAGGGATCAAGAGGTCTGAGATTAATGAAGGGGCTAGTCAACTTCAAACAAAAAATTTACAATTTGATCCAATGCAAAAAACAAAAAAAAAATTGATAGCCAAAATCATAACAATAATAATAATAATAAAAAAAAAAAATCAGTGTTGTCCGTTCAAATGGGATTTCTACTTATAGTAGAAAGTGGAAATCAGATTTGCATGGATAAAATGCATGTCCTAACATGGGGATGCAGAGGTCCAATCCTTTTACATGCATCCCTTCTTTCACCCACCTGGTTCTAATTACTGAACTCCCTTAGCAGCACGTCATTCACCTCTAAGGAAGCCTGGTAATGAGCCATTCATTTGATTCAGATCTGTTGGACAGGGGATGCGTCTAGAAGCTGCAGCAGTGATTTTCAACCCTAAGATGTTTCTCTGCTTTAACACACCTGATTCAGAAGCCCAGTTCAGCAAAGCTTGTTAATCTGCCATTTATTGAAA